GGCCTCTTATTGTGCATCTTTCAATGCAGTTCCGAACATGCAATGCCCTATAAAGGTCTCAGGGATGAAGCCACTGAGCAGAGTCTGCAAAATCAAAAACGGTTTTACATGCTGAGTGCAAGCGGTCGGGTCTGCAGAAGAGTCACAGAGGAAAGGACACAAGCCGAAAAGGAAATGAAACATGACTCATCTGAAAGGCATATAAAGGTAGAAACTGTGTATCGTCTTTGAGAATAAAGGCTTGTTGTTCAAAGAAACATTTGTTTCGTTACTAGCAATTAAACGAAAACAAACACCATAGTCAATTCCGTCTCTCAGGTCTCTTCACATAATACTTTTGGTATGATTGCATCATCATTGTCAGTATACTCTAATGCAGAATTTTTAAAACTTAAGTCCATAAAGCAAGGGAGTCGGTGAATAAGTGGTGTACAGTAACAATATAACCACGTTTTTAATTTAGAGGAATAGTTCACCCAAAATGAAAATTTTGTAATCATTTACTCACCCTCATGTATTTTAAAAACTTTATAAGTTTCTTTCTTATGTTGAACATAAAAGAAGATATTCTGAAGAATTTTAAAGAGACAAACAGTTGATGTTTCCCATTGAATTCCATAGTAGGGAAAGAAATACTATGGAAGTCAATGGGGACCAACTCTTTGATTACCAGCATTCTTCAAAATATTTTATTTTATGTTCAACATAAGAAAGAAACGTATACAGGTTTTAAAATACATGAGGGTGAGTAAATGATTACAAAATTTTAATTTTGGGTAAACTAACCCTTTAATTCTTGTGTTGTGCTTATCTTTGACCTAATTTGGTTTTCCCAGTCAGAAAATATCGCCTTTTAAAAAATGCTTGTAAATCTCTCTTTATGCTAGAAACTGAATCCAATATTTGGTAATATAGCGTAATGAGTGATTTACGAGCAGTTTTTGTAAGGCTGGCCATTTTTAACCAGGAACAACTTGAGTGTAAGAAGATGGGAAAGAAATCATAAAAACGAACAAAAAATATGCAAATTATTTGGGAAGTTGTTAAACGCTGTGTGAGCATATTTTGTTTTAGGTCTGTGTGATAGCATTTTCCAGAAAAAGAAAATCCTTTCTGAATCAAAATGACCGAAATGAAATGAAACGAAATTAAATTGAAGTAAATTAAATTAAATTAAATTAAATTAAAAACTCAAACATAATCGATGTCAAAATGGTTCAAAACATCATGGTGATTTGTAGAGACATTTATGTTCAGAATAAACATAGCCTATTGCTTTTAATACAATTATTGTCAAATTTTCCTCTCACATACACATAAATCTAGCGTAGCGTTAGTTCTGGCAGGTCACGTTAGTCAAGCTCGCATCAGCTGATCCCCATCAACCTGTTGGAATACGACACCTATCTAAGCATTCATATATAAGGTCCCTCAGTATTAGCAGCCGTTTTCGCATTGCTCAATAGCTAATTACCCTCCTCCATCCCCAGCTC